AATCTATCAGTAATATTACTTATCTCGATTAATTAGTATATCGGAAGCCCTAGCAAAGCGCTGACTATAGTGTCTCCTGCCATAATGCCCCCATGAAAAAGACCCGGGTACAATTCATGGGTTCATGATTCAGAAGATATGATTGAATAGGACCCGGTTATTATTCAAGTTAAATATATATAATATTTGTATTTGAATCCTTATTAAACTAATATTAAATTATGTAAATTGCCTCTTATTATATAGTTAATTAGTATCCAGGAGGGTACTATTCAAAAATTTTGATGGTTGGTTGATTGAATAGTACCCAGGTACTATAGTTAGCGTCATACGGTATTAATCCATTTTACTTTTTATTTATTTAAAATAATTATAAAAACACTAATAAATTTCATAAATAATTTGATCACAACGTAATATCAATTATATAATAAAATATATTTAACTTTGCAAAATTTTTAAAAGGAATACAACTTTCGGAATTATACCTCCCATTGATACAATACACCACCGTACTTGCTTAAATTCCTCATGTACAGTGCTCGTGTACAGTGCTAGATGCCGTATTATATACTGCGGATGATCGTAATTCGGATTATCGCTAGTTGGTCAATACTAAACAATTACGATCACCTAAAGCGTCAGCTTCGATAATTTGTCTGCAAGATCTGGAAAGTATAAAAGACGACTCGTCCATACAGCTTCTGGATGTGAACCAGAATAAGTTGCTGTAGCAATTTGGGGAATTAGGTTATCAGCTTCTTCAAATTCTTTACGAATTTTTAGCCTCTCTTCATCCAAGCATGCAATTTTCCAATTACAACTTTTATCCCAGGTTAAAATAACATTCCATATCTCATCAACTGTTGGACGTTTGTCAGCATTGAGATCCAAACATCTATTGACTAGTTGTACATAACATTCTGGTACACCCTCACCGCATTCTGGGCGCAAACCTTCACATATTTTAAGTGCCAGTTCAGCATTATGTGGAATATTATTAAATGGCGGTCTCCCCGTTGCTATTTCAATCATGATCATTCCAAAACTATAAATATCTGCAGCTTGAGTATATTCCAGTCCACTTAAAACCTCTGGAGAAATATAGGGTAACACACCAATTACTCCTTTGTCTGATTCGCTTAATTTTTTTAACGAGTGAACTAATCCAAAATCTGCGATCTTTGATCTTGAATCCTTTGCTTGTAATATATTACCAGTATGAAAATTTCCATGAAAAAAGTTCATGTATTTGTGTATATAAAATAGATTATTGGTGATTTCAGAAAGTAATTCAATTTTTGATTTCCATTTCAAATTAGAAATGTTTGTCTTTAAATAAGTTCTAAGATCACCATAGTCACAGTATTCAATTATCATCATGTAGACTTTTAAATTTGGGTCGTAAGTTATTCCATATGTTTTGAGAAAATGATGAGATTTATCCGAATTTGTATAATATACTTGAAGCTTTATATATGAGAAATGCGATTAATTAATTATTTCATACGTATAGAAAATTAACAAATATAAATAAAAAATATAGTTACCTCTTTTAAAAAATCATCAATTGTATCTTTAGATGTTGGCAATGTTTTAAGAGCAACTTTAATTGGTTGAGAACGTATATTTTTCCATTCACCATCGATTTCTTTTTGTTGCCTTTCACCATCTAACCAAAGCGCTGAATAAACGGTGCTAAAACCTCCTTGACCAATTACCTGAACATTTTCAAATCTATAAAAAGGGATACATTCAAGAAATGTATCCATATAAGATTTTGATTCTAACTGTGTTGTCTTAATAAATTCGTCAATCGCAACACTCTCACTAGTCCATCCTTCAGTCAACTTTTTGGGATCACAAGATTGACACCATCCGTACGCGGTGTTGAATTCATAACAATTAGAACATGTTCCGTACAATTCATCTCTTAAGTTTTCAATATTCAACTCATCGTCTGGTATACTATTTTCATAACTGGAATCATCATTGGATGAAATATCGGCATCTATGTATGATACTACTACTGAAAAATCATTGTCTTTATCTGATACGTTTATTGAACTATCAGCACCGTCATCTGATACATCTGTTAAATTATAATCATCTTCATCCGACACTTCGATCGAGTCATCGGTCTCTTCCCTTACTAATTCAATCGAATCAACTGGATCCATCTTGATAATAATAGATACTCGTGGCTTATCGCTGAAAAGTTCTTATTTTATTCAAATTACGTATACAAAAAGGCTTGTACTTAAACGGAGATTCAGATCAGCACCGTATACGTACTGTATATATCGATTTTAAAGCATGTGGGGATTATTAAATTACCGCAATTTTACGTAATTTTATATGTCGGCACAGTCAGCAATTGTTAAAAAAAGATCATCTGATCTAAATTGACTATAAAAAACGGCGAAATTGTCGATATTATATTTCATACCGTTATTGTTCATTTATTTTATTTATTGAGACCCTTCAAATTCTTTGGAATCTATCATAACTACCTAAATCTGAACATAATATCAAAAACGATTGTGCAGTATATATGTAGAATATAGCTAGTGCAGAACGTATAGAAACGAGGTTGTACAGAGCAGAGCAAGGTATTCAGCAAAAAATTGCAGTAACTGATGCTTGCAATTATATAATAATACGACATCGATATGAAAAATAGATTCTTCAATCTATATTTGTGTTTAAATCGACAGCATTGATGAAAAAAAAATAAATTGTCCATATATAGCTTCATCTTCAGTAGCTTGGTCGAAGATTAAGTTATTATCAGTTATGTACATGTTATTAAATACGAATTGTTCCTAAATTTATATTAATGGAGTATATAGCAAATATGTAGGTATAGTTAATAAAACATGTGTGGTTAAAATTGAGATATTGAGTACGATAAAATTTTTTAAACAGTATAGAAACAGAATAAGGATGCAAAAAAAGGCATTCGTGCTCATTTAGAAAAATAATTAATGTATAACGATATTAACATATAATGATGTAATAAATGCAACAATAATATGGCAAATAGTATAAAAATTGATTTTTTTTTTTTACAGAATTGCAACACAATATTAACATTAAACATTTAACAATTAGTAAAGAGATCATTTAATATTTTATTTAGAGTACCGGGGTTCTATTAATAACTAGTTTATCTAGCAGGTACAGACGGGAAATTTTTCATATTACTGCTACAGGTTTTTATATTCCAGAAAACTGCGGATAATAACCTTTATTTGCGGTATATTTAAAGCTTCGTCTCGTATAAAAATATGTTTAAAAAGGAATATCAGAAAATTTTAAAGCCATCGTCGTTGTAAATAAAAAATAAAGTTTTTAAAAGAGGTATAATAGGATATTAACAGTTCGGTCTGGTCCAGTTTTTAATGTGTATATAGTAAAGTAGTAAGTACGGTACGGAAACGCAAATTAGGACGTGTAGAAATCAATATATACATACGGTTTGTAAAAGAAAAACTTCGTCAAGCCCATGTTACTTTTACTAATAACCCCAACACGAAAAAGGACAATACTAGCGCTCACCCCATTAAAATGGATACTTATCGTTATAAATAGTGAATTTTACAAGTCTATAGTAGAGGTCGGAACCGGTTGTAAATTTTAAGACCCGAATTGGATTTGCATGTAATATAAAACCGGTTATTATTTAAGTTAAACCGGGTGATTTAAACCGAATTATAATCAGGTCGCATGATTTAATATGATATGATGTAATTGGTTGATCAACAATAATTCTGATTGGCCAAAATCTTTACCTTTGTTCACGTGAAATTTTAACATTTAATAAACTATAATACTTTGTAACATGCTAGAAATAAACCGGATTGTCTGAATTTTGCAACCGGATTAAGATATTATAAAACCGATTTAATATTGAATCGGGTTAACCCGAATTTATACCCGAATTTTATTAACCGGTTCCGACCTCTAGTCTATAGTATAATTTTCGTATGTCCGTCCGAATTTGTACTAGCGTACAGTACTACTATAATAATTTACAGTTTTAAAAATTAATCAGTCGTCTTAAGACTAAAAACAGACCAATTTGTTTTCAGCTTCAGACAGGTCTTAACAATACTTGTTCGTCAGTTTAAGCCAGACCACATAAAATCCCTATCGGGTTATAATGATGTGTTGTTATCTAAATAAATACCGTACAAACTCGGAATAACGCCTATGGACGTTATTTTAAAATCAGGACCTTCAAAAATAACATGTAGTTTCGAATTAACGCCCAGGTGCTCGAGTTAACGCGCATTCCTATATAAAAAAGATAAAAAAATAAAAGGTGTACCGGAACTGAATTTGGTACTAAGTAAAAAGCAGGCTTGCTTAGAGCTCAGGAGCACTTAATTTCTTACTATATTTATTATAATTAAGGGGGTATTTATTTAACCTATATATAACGCGTATGGGCATACTCGAAATAACGCGCAGGTCAATTAATTAACACGCGCAAGTGGGCGTTATCCGAGTCTGTATGGTAGGTGGTATTTACGTGGGAAAAACACGTGAATATAAAAGATGCATAATTAAATTCATGTTCTTATTTTTGTATTTGCAGTGTCGGCATTTGGATTATATTCAATAAAACTTTTGTTTGAACATGGATTAATCTAAATGATATCCATTCCATATTTTGTACAAAAAAATTTCAAAAACTATTCTGGTGTAATAACAGGCAAAAAAAAAGAGAAACAAGATAAATCCTATAATTTCCAATATTTTAAATTTTTTAATTTTTTTTTGTAAGAGAGAATTGGTATATGGGAACGGCCACAGAAAAAGCAGGGGATAGGACTATATAATTATAGTTCCATCCCCTGCTTTTGCTGTGGGCGTCCCCATATAGAACTAAACATTTTACTAACAATTCAATCATATGTTGTAAATTGTTTTGGATATGTTATATTTATTTACTTTATATATATCAATCAGGTTTCCTCAAAGTTGAATCAAATCAAATATTAAGTATATTTAAATTTAATCAATTAAATCAAATCAACCCTTAATTTGAATTTAATTTGAATTTAATTTGAATTTGATTTAATTAATTTGAAAATTTTAATTTATATAAAATTTATTAAGCTAATTGATTTTATATATTAAATAAAAAATATTTTCTAGTTAAATATCTCTAGTTTTATAAAATAAAAAGGTAGTTATTTTAATAAAAATTTGTATAAATAATTATTGTAATTATAGTTTCAATAATAATTTTATAAATTAAATCTAATATTCAAATATTTGTTAAATTAAATCAAATATTTTGTCAAATTAAATTTGATTTAATTTGAAATTTCTGTACTTGAATTTGATTTAAAATTAAGTATTTGATTAAATTAAATCAAATCAATTTGTAAAATTTATTATTTATTCTCTAAATATACTGTATAATAAGTTTTTTGTATATATTTATTATTATAGATTATAATAAAATCAAATTAAATTGAAATTAAGAGTTTTTATTTGACTTTCTAAAATTTAATTAAATTTGTTTGTTATAAAATCTACTACTAAATCTTATTTCCAACTCAAAAAAAAACTACTAAAAAATTTGTTTTAAAAATTTATATTTTTTGGTAGTTTAGTTATTTTATACTATCTTTAATTTAATTTATTTTAATTTTATTTTAAATTGTTTTTTTTTTTTTTTACCTTTTACAACTAGCCTCTTCAGGGCTAGAGTTTTTATTAAAGTATTAAATCAAGAGCTCGCTGCTGAAGCCTCAAAGGAACCTTATTACATTAGAGAGTACATTCTAGCTATACCTATGCCTTTTGAGCGTCTAATTAAGTAGTTCCCTATTACTAAGCCTTATACTAGATGACGTATCTGTAACTTACTATTACTTGAATTATCTAATTAAACTCTCTGTAACACAACTTGTATCTGTATCACCATTATATTTCTGCTATATATATCAGTTGAGAAGTCTCAGATTCTTTACTCATTTCCTTAGAACTACTTTATTCTCGAGGCATCATTGCTAGAGCTTTTCATATCCACAATCTGACTAACCTAGATTCAGTAATTTATGCTGAGTTTGAAGACAAGTACTTGCGAGCCGAGGCTGCTACCATTTTCTA